CGAAAAAAAATTTTTTTTTTTTAAATATTATTGATCCATTTTTATGTAGTCAAAAGCTGCATAGAAATAACTTTTTTTTAATTTTCATCTACTATTGTTTAAAAAATTATTATAAACAAATGCGTTGTTTATAGGATAATTGAAATTTTTTTTTTATGGAATTTTAATCTTTGAAACAAATAATGATTTAAAAAAAAAAAATTATTACCTAAAATAATTTTTTTATTGCTTAAAAACGCATTTGTTCATTACGTTCAACGCTTAAATTATTTTTATTTAAAATTATTATAAATGATAAAAATGAACAATTATAATTAAGTTTTTCTTGGTTTTTATTTTTTTTTCAATTTATATTTAAAATTTTTCAATCGCTTTAAAATATGAGATATTCAAATATTTTTAAAAATTTAGATCATTTATAATTTGAATTCTCGAGAAACACAGAGAAAAATAGAAGTTAGCAGTCGATATAGAAGAATGTTTCAAAATTGGTAAAAAATTTTTTCTGTTCGGTCTTTCGGATTGAATCGAATTGAAACGAATAGAAAAACTGGTGTTTCACAAGTTGGATTGAATCGAATAAAGTTGAATAGGAGGTTCTATTCGATTCTATTCGATCCCGATTGTTGGGACGTTCATCTTTTTTAATTATTCGTTTTTAATGATTTATTTATTCATTTTGAATTCTATGAAATCATTGCATACAATTGTATTACCTTGAATAGACAATTTCAATTATTTTCACATAACTTGATTCAATAATGGCTGAGTATAGTATAATGACAATTATAGTAATAATGATGCGATCATAATTGATGAAGTACAATAATTATAACAAGAGCGATATGATAAAATAAATTACTGATGTTATTTGTATGCATGTCTATAGTACTAAAATAACTTTAATTTGATAGGGAAAAATTTTTTTCTTAACTAAGACTTATCTACCTGATTTCTGTGAAGTTGTAAATGATAAAAAAATGATATCTCATAAAGAAGTTTCACTTCTTACTTGTATACTCTGGTACACACACATATTGTTTTCTTTTTTCTTTTTAAAACGATATGAACTATTTTCATAGACATTCATTTTTCTTCAAACTTTATTTTTCGTAGAATAAACTCTTATGAGGCTGTATTTGCAATGCTACGTCTTGCTGATGAAACAAAATCCTTAGAATCTGAATAATATCCGAGTAATAAAATGTCTAATACAAAAATCAAAATCAATCTAACAACAAAAAAAAACCTTTTTGTTTATCCAAATTAATAGTAAATCTTCTAGATTGTGAAATTTAAGGAATAAATTAATTTATGATTGTAGATCATCAATGTGTATTTGAAGATTTTAGAAAGAGACTCGAATTCCACAGTCAGAGTTGTCGATACTTTCTGGTATAATACCATCAATAAGAAGGTGTCAGCTAAGCGCCTAAAAAAGGATGTAAGTATGTTGTATTATGATTCATGTAGACTTGCGATACCATGCAAATATTAACTCTTTTTTTTTACCTAGGTTGATATTTTGAAAAAAAGATTGGTTTTAATACCTATTCATTTAGGAATTCATTGGTGTTTGTGCGCTGTTGATAATATAAACAAATCCATCACATATTACGACAGCCTGCACTCAAAGAATGATAAATGCCTAGAGGTGAGTACACAGATATAATAAATAAGTACATTGGTGTATTTAATTTAATATATTAGTGATCTCTTTCTGTTGGTGACAAACACATTTATGTACATCTCTCATACTTTTCTCTTTGTATGGCATATGTTCAAATTTAAAAGTCAAAAAATTCTATTCACTGTTAAAGCATAAAAATTTATAAGTGCACTTATAAGATGTCAATGTTATAAATATCTTCTTAAATTACAGGTTATTGAAAAGTACCTGCAAAGTTTGGGAGAGAAGCGATGGAGTAAAATTCATGAGAAGGTAAACAAAAGTTATTGATATTTTCAATTAATTTAATTTCGTGAGTTATCTTATGTCAACGTATATAAAAAAATTAGCAAATCGGTTGACCCTAAAGGCCATCCCTGCAACTTCCCGCTGATTCCGTTAATACCTGGTTGCTTTTTTTGAGCTCTTCGATATATAAGAATAATAATAATAATAATAAGAATAAGAATAATAATAATAATAATAATAATAATAATAATAATAATAGTAATAATAATAGTAATAATAATATAGTAGTTATTACTCGCCCGCTCTCCTGGGCGGTTTATAGAATCACATTTTTAGATCTAGACTTGAAATTTGGTTAGACTATTGCTTTGACTTGCATAGATTCTCAATTCTATCATATTGGCATGCACCTTTTTAACATAACATTCCCATGTCTATCTTAAGAAAATGAATTATAATTGATATAAAAAAAAAAAAAAATTGTTATGAGCATTGAAAGTTTAAGTTAAAAAAGTTGCAGGTCTCATAAGTGACGAAATCTGCTTATATTAGTATTCTTTGGTATTTCGTTTATAAAGAAAAAAACTTACATAAGTATTTCGCGATGGATAATTGTATTTAAAGTACAATTTACTATGGCATCTGGGTGGCTGTAAACAATTATTTGTTTATAACTAACTTTCCATTTCACAGATTTACTGCCAAACTTCGAATTTCATTCCTTGTATATTTTAGTCTTTAAAAAAAAAACTCCAGGTCCTTGTCTATTAGTCGAAAGTAGCCTCTACAATAAAATGATTGGTCTAATATAAACATAACCAATAGAATTAAAAATAGTATATTGTGTGACTAGGGATGAAACAAAACGATTTCAGACCAGAGTGAAGTTGTCTCTGCCTGAGCGAAGCGAGGGCTGGCATCACTTGGTCTGAAATCGCGTTTCATCCCGCGTTACACATTATATTTTTCATATAAGTTGCATTAAAAATGCTAGTTTCAATGTCTGAAGCCAACCAGAACTAGATAGTTTCAGATGAATAGCGAATGTATCATTTTATTATAAAACTTATAATAAAATAAAAAGTTATGGTTTATTTTTTATTAAACAATTAGACCGTCGATATGATTCTATATGAAATTGTTTATAAGATTATATATAATTATATATGACTATTTATTGATCAATATACAGTAGGGTGTGCCAAAATGTAACACTCGTGGAGGACCTTTCAAAATTGGAATGTTGAGTTCCGCTTTTAACAGGAGCTGTATTTGGGCATTTCCTAAGATATTTTGGGGGGAAACGATGTATTTGATTTTCATAGAATTTTTCAACAGAAGCTTAGTTTGGGCGTTTCCGGTGAAAATTCAAAATTTGGCCGGAAGTGCCCAATTAAATGTCCTGGTAAAAATCCCATGAATAATCAAATACATCGTCTTCCCCCAAAATATCTCAGGAAATGCTCAAACACAGCCCCTGTTAAAAGCGGAACTCAAAATTCCAATTTTAAAAGGACCTCCACGGGAGTTAAATTTTGGCACACCCTATTATACAGCCATGCAGGATTATATATAGTTCCATATACAATTATATATAAGTATATATAATTATTATATATAATCATAGAATTCTAATATGTCAGTACAGCTAGGGGTTAGAATGACAATTATAAAGATATAAAATAAACAAACAATTGATAGGATTGAAAATTAAGCTGCAACTTCATCTCGCGGGCAGAAAATCATCATTTTCTGTCCGCCGGGAAGAAATGATTGATTCCTGCTCAGCAACAGTCGTATTGGTCTGAAATTGTCTAATAATTTCGGTTGGCTCAACAGGCATTGCAACTCGCATTTTCAATGCAGGTTATATGAAAATTTAGTTTAAACAAATGCGAATCAAATAAAATAAATTTAGTAACAATAAAAATTCATCATTGTTAAGACAAAAAAATATAGGTTCCGGATAAGTAATCACCATCTTCGGAACACGCTGCATCTTATGGTATTAGTATTATTCCGATAGGTTCAGTAGTTTTCGCAGTATAAGAAGACAAAAAAAACGGCTCTCCATTTATTAGTATAGATATTAGGGTGTGTCAAAATTCAATTTCTGTGAAGAAACTTTTAAAATTGGAATTTTGAACTCCGCTCTTAGCAGGAGCTGTGTTTAAGCATTTCCTTAAATATTTTGGGGTGAGACGGTTTATTTAATTTTCATAGAAATTTTTAACAGGAGTTTAGTTTGGGCATTGCTGCTGAAATTTTAAATTTTGGCCGGAAGTGTCCAACTAAAGCTCCGCTGGAAGAGCGCAAAAATGTTGTAAAGAAGCACTTGTGGTTGTAATAACTGGGAAGTTGCACGGATGGCCTGTAAGGACGAGCATTTTGCTAATTTTTTCAAATTTTTTATTTTATTTCCATGGTAATGAAATGGATGACTGAGGCGTACACTATATGATTTTAAAAGCTGTTTATAATATAATTTTTTTTTTTCAGAATATCGCATTGCAAACCAATTCGTATGACTGTGGTGTTTATACCTGCTTCTTTGCGAAGCAGTTGATAATGTCTGAATCTCTTCAAAAATGTAGCAGCAACATGAACGACTTCAGAATCGAAATGCTATGCAGTATACTCTCTAACTGCAAAGCTATGCATAAGGAAAAACCGAAAAATGTAAGTGAAATGATATAATATAATTCAAAGTTCAACGTGAAAAAAATGGTGGAAACTTTCGTCTTCAATTCAGTACTTCCGACTCAGAATCGTTTGGCTTCTTAATTTAAAGACGACTTGCTCTTGAAGCAATGAAAAATTTTTGGAAAGAAATGTAGAATATGCTTCCTGAGTAAAAAAGATTTTATACAATTAGATAAAATTATGTATAAATTATATATAATTATATAAAAAAATGGCCCGATAAAATTGGATAGAAAAGGTATATAATTGTATAAAATTATATATCTTGTCTTCTTATATATAAAATTCTCGTGTCACAATGTTAGTCTCCATACTCCTCCGAAACGGCTTGACCGATTCCTCTGAAATTTGGTAAGCATATTGGGTAGGTCTGAGAATCGGCTAACATCTATTTTTCACACCCCTAAATAATAAGGGTGGTCCACCCCTCAATTTTTTTTTTCATTTTTTTGACAAAATTTTTTTTTTTATTTTTTTATGATACGATATTCAAAAATACATACAACCCTAAGTTTTTGCCCTTCTATCACCAACCCCTATTTTTTAATAATTATTTTAGTAATTTAATTAATTTTTAAAATTTTTCGCGCTTTTACTCTGGATACTCATTGGCCAGACTATATCGGTGTAACTACCCAGTGAACAACGCGGAGTAGAAAATGAAATTTCCTACAAGAATAATAGACGAAAAATCCAAATTTCGACTTGCCAATTTTTTTGATTATTTTAAATGAATTGTTGAAATGAAAAATTTAAGATATTGAAATATGTTTTAGTTTAAACTACTTCAATTTAATAAAAAAAATAAGTGGACTCAAGCCACTATTACACGCTACTATTACAGTGATTTTTTTTTATCAAAATATTTAATATCTAGAGTAGAAGTACTGATTGGGGGCACTGAACCGTTTATGGCCATGTATTGTTCAAATAAACGATAGGAATGAATTATTATTTTTATATTAATAAACCGTTATAAGCTCAATTTTTTTAAATATAAATTTTTTAAGACTCAACCAAAATATGGTTATAATATCATTTTTTATAATTAAATTCAAATGTTAATTGGCCAAAAACGGTGCTAAGGTGGCCAAAAACGGGACTTCTACCCTAATGGAATTTTCTTCATTTCAGCCACCGAATATGTTGAAGTCTACGACGGTAAAAACTTATGGAATACCTTCGACTATTCCTGGAGTCGTTGTCCTGCAATCATCAAGCTTCCATCAAGGTGACCAGAAAGTATTCAAGCATCGACTTGCTGGTGCTCAATGCACTTCAATCTCAGCAGTAGCATGCTGCATTTTATCAAGAAAAATTGAACCCGTTATGAGAGAAGATCTTGAAAAAATACTAATTCAAGGAGATCAATACTATTTGCAATGCAAGAAGATAGCCATTGAAGCAGATTACCTAAATGTTGAAGATTTGTTGGAATCTTTTATTGTGGATGACAATTTGGTCATATTAACTTATGAAGACATTACATACGGCAGATTCTGTGACAGCGATCTCCGTAGTAAATTGTGTGAATGCATCAATGTTTGTTGCCAACGAAGCAAACTAAGCGTCAGCAGTGGTTTCTTGTTTACTGGCCAACAGAAAACAGTTTCTTTTGTTGTAAGACCGGATAACACATTTTGGCTATTCAACTCTCATTGTGTTGATGTAAACAACCGATTTCCGATTCAAGAACCCTCTGAAGGAACAGCTCGATTATTTAAATGTGCGAATCCTGAAGCTCTTGCTTCGTTACTGGTAGCTGATATGAGGAGTAGTTCAGATTATTGGAGTATTTGCCAATTAAAATTCTCCATTCAGTCGTGAATGGGGCACTACAATACTCCAGCTAATTGATTTAGCTGATAATAAAGACAACAAAAACCGCCAAGGGCTTACTTCTTTAGCGAAACTAATTGCTGAAATGAATTCTCAGCATAATATTTCGAGTGGCGTTGAAAAATAATAATGAAGAAATGAATAAAAATAAAACTCTTCCAGGCTGAAGTCGACTTCTTAAAGAATATTATAAATTGTCAGAACGGCCTGGTTATGCTAATTATTTCTTTGTATTATTATTTCTATTTATGCTAATTATTTTTTTTAATCAGATGGTAAGACTATAAATAATATTTTTATAGAATATTAATATGCATGTAAATGTTCTATCTGTCTACATTTAGTGGTGCATTGACTAGAAAACCAATACGTTTTTCTTTGTCTCAATCCTTTTTTCTTAATCAGAGTATTTATTTATTGACTGATATTGTTTTTGGTTCTTCTTATATTTATATTAGTTATTGACTGAATTTATTATATTGCATGCTTTAATTATTAGTTTATAAAACAAAATAATATTCTTTATAATATTATAAATATTCTTTAATCTGTGATTTAATTACATAGTCTGTATTCCCGTTCCCTTACTTAAATGAAAAATCTCTTAAATAATGATTAACAATTAACACAGTCATTAATGATCGTTACAATAAAGATATCGTTATTAAATATAATGTAAATTGTTTGAATCATTTTATAGTGAGTAAACCTACAATCATAATTAGTCTAGCAATTTTTTGCTACTAATTTACAATAAGAAATCCATTCGTAATTGAATATACCCGCGATTACAGAAACATATGTGAGCGCCATCTATTTTTTAGTATTTAAGGAGATGAATATTACTTTTCAAAGTTGTTCCCTGCGTAAGGATACAAGTTACGGGTACTTATTGTCAGGCGCATGCGCTAAAATTAAAATTGTGATGGAAGGGGAATTCCTCCGAAAAGACCCGAGGTCCAAACTCTCACTGGGACGACTTTAAAATGACAGGCATGCGACGTGTTTAGAGGCGGAATTGAACTTTGGAGGCTATGTTTACATGGCTATTTGACTTAATAATGTTGAATTTCTTTTAACACATTTAATATACATGGCCTAAAGTTTTTTTTTAACTTTCTCAATTATTTTTGCTTCCAATACGACCGATTAATACTGGTCAAAAAGCATATTTTATTATTTTTTCTATTATTTAGTAAAAAAATACATAAGCTATTGTAATACTTTTTGCCCATTTAGTGCTTTTGTTAAACACCAGGGCGCGCCATTTCCGACTGATGTGCTGCCTCTACAGTTAGCGCTCGGTCCCTATTGAAATTATTTGAGAAAAAATTATAAATTATTCAAATGATTCAGGTCAATTATTAAAAAAAGTGGAAACTAAAATAAAGTTAATAATCCCAATATCCCAATATAAAATTTAGATGAAGTGTACATATATGTGGCATCAATTTATTTGTAATGAGATCAGTCGAATATATCATAAGCATGCATGAAAATATATGCAAACTCTATATTCAGGTGCGCGCTTGCGCACGCATATCAAAATTTTAGTAATTTATTAAGAAATGTGTGCTATTGTTATCATTTAATTCTGAATTATAAATTGATCTAGTAAAAAGATAATTTTTTTATATTTACAGTTTTTTTACTAGATTTTTACTAATATCTAGTATCGATACTATCGAACTTACGCGACTTTGCAAAGAAAGCAGAAACAAAACAATAAAGGTGATTTATTCATTTGTTTACTCGAGCGATTTTGCACAAAATTGTAAGCCTTTGATATTGCTGTTTAATGTTTAATTAATAAATATTTCACTGTTCTTATGGTGAGAGTACAGCTTCAATCAAAATATATTTTATTGTAAAGTAGTTGAGATTTGTTTAAAATTAAGTATTTATCATTGCATTAATTGTATACATAACAAACTTTCTACAAGACACTGGAGTTGATTGACATTCGAAATCCCTGATTAAACAAAATGATTTGATATGATTAAAAATAATTAATTTTCTAACCATTTTAAATCGTATTTCTTATGGACATCAAACATTGTGAAATCATTTTGTTTAATAAGGGTTTATTTTAGAATTTTATAGTAGTGAAATTATTATGGAAAAAATTTTACACGTGAAAATTTTTAAAGCATTTTTCTTTATTGTAATATTGATTTGTTTTAAAAATTGAAAAAATCAAGTTGTCAATTAACTTCAGTATCATACTTTTTATATTAAACCATAAAATATAAGTCTATCAAGAGCAAAAATGCTATTTAGGTTTAATTAAAACTTTTTTTTTCACATTACCCTTCATTAGAGTCAAGTATAGCGTATAGACTTATAAATTTAATTTATGAATACATGTATTTATTCGAAATAATAATGATGATATTTTGTTACAGGAATAAAAATAAATCGAATTCCGATCATGGCATCTGCAAACGTTAATTTCCCACCCTCTCCCAAAGATCCACTTAAGATTGAATTAGAAATTGCAATTAATGAACACAATGAAAATCGTGTAAAAGAATTGATTGGCCTACTCAAAGAAAGAGATGAAGAAAGTGGATGTTGTACTTTAGGATGGGATGATGGATATCATCTGCTTAGCCAGGCTATTCAAAGAAATAGAGCTATAACAAACCTTTTGTTAGATTACGGAGTGAAAACGAATAGATTATCAAATGAAGCATGCAAATCGCCGCTTCACTTCGCCATTGAAAATCGGGACTTGAAGATGGTTGAAAAACTATTGAGTAAAGGTGCTAAAACAAGAGCGAAAACATCTAACGGCAGGACCCCACTCTATTTGGCTGTCGAAGTTGGGAATAAAGAAATAATTGAGCTGTTATTAGAAGTAGACCCCCAGCCTGCTCTCAACGAAAAAAATATATTGCAGCCAATTGAAGTAGCTGCGGAAATTGGAGAAGAAAAAGTTTTCAACATGCTAGTTAACAAAGGAGTCAAAGCAAATTTAAAATACTGTGATGGTACGTTAATGCTTCACGTGGCCGTTGAAAATGGATATGAGAGGACGGTTTCGAAGATTATTGATGAAAAAAATTATGATATCACAGATAGTAGAAATCTTCAATTGTTAACTGCTGCGGTTATGGGATGGAAAGGGAAGTACAGAAAAATTGTATCAACCCTAGTCAATGCCGGATTTAAAATTGATCCCGAAAAAATAAATGATAAAGCATTTATCCATAAAGCTGCAGATGAAGGTTATTGTACGATTATTGAAGATTTACTGACATACGGTGCGGACCCGAACATTTTAAATGCGCGCGGTGATTCTCTTTTAATGACAGCATGTAAATCTAAGAAAGTTGATATTGTTAAAACGTTGATAAGAAATAAGGCTGATATACATTTTAAAAATTCATCGGGATACACGGTACTATATTACGTGATCCATAATTTAAACTTCAATGAGGATAAATTGTGCTCCCATATAAAAGTTTCTGATTACTCAGATGACGACTATGTAATTGCAAAAAAAAATTTAGATGATAATTGTACTTGTCATTCTAACGAATGGTTTGAAATTTTAAAAATCTTTATAGATCTTGGCATAGATGTTAATAACAAAGATCAATACGATTCGACGGCTTTGCATTATGCTATACGTTATAATTATAACGAGCAATATTATCATTACATTAAAGAACTTACTTGTTTATTACTAAAAGCAGGAGCTGATGCGAAAAGTCGTGATGATCACGGTAATACTCCTCTTCAAGATGCAATTTCTAGAGATCGTTTAGAGATGGTTGAATTACTGTTACCATCTGCTAAACTGGATGATGAATGTTACGTAAATTGTAAAAAGCAAACATTGCTTCATGCAGCAGCTGGGTCTAGCGGGATTAAATTGCTAGAAATTATTTTAAAACAAAAGGAATTCAAAAATTTAGACCTTCAAGGTAAATAATTTTTTATTTGCTTCAATAATTTTTTAAACTTTGAATATTTTTAATTATAAGAGTAATTTTATTCCAGATATTGGTGGTGCAACTCCACTTTCTTTGGCTGTTCAACGTTCATGCTTTCCAGCTGTTGAAATTTTATTACTCCGTGGTGCAAATCCTAATATAGCAGATAACAAAATGATGACACCATTACATTATAATTTAGTAGACTGTGGTCTGCTAACAATTCTCGAAATATTACTCAAGTTCGGAGCAAATATTAATTGTGTTGATAAGAATGATATGACACCATTGACAATCGCAGCTTCATACAACAATGAAAGTCATTTTGAAATTCTCGCAAAATATGCTACTGATTTAGATGCCAGAGTTGATAGATCGGGAAGAACAGCTTTACATTGTGCTGCTCAGCACCTAAATAAAGCTTTTTCAAAACTATTAAAGCTTGGCGCAGATATCAATATAATGGATTACCATAAGAAAACAGCTTTGGACTATTTGATAAACTCTATGGTTTCTTTTTGTAAAAAATGTCAAGTTTCATTAGATCCGTCGAGTGACTCTAGCTTGATCAAGCTTTACACTCATGAACATATTAAAAATGTACATATTTATTTAGAACATGTTGCGAAACTCCAATTAATTAATTCATTTGTTTCTCCGGAAAATCTACGAAGCATCTATATGTACGAAAATAAATATAGTTGGATTCCTAGTTTCAAAACTGAGAATAATGAAATATCAAAAATTGAAAAAACAAAAGAAATGTGTCAAGAAGAAGTAGAATCGATGAAGCAGTATGTGCTTGAAAATACTAACATTAATGTTTATCAAATTTTAACAAAATGTCCTCATCGTATTGCTAAGTATGTCTTGAAGAACAACAATGTATTTCAACAATTACAAACTCCGGTTTTTGTTGAAAATTTTCCTGTTTATGGCAATCTATTAAGTCTCCGTATTACAAAATGCTTAGAGAGAAAAAAAATATTGGATGACGATACTGATTATTCGTTTCACCGAGTTTTTCCGTCTTTGCCTTCCATTTGTATCGATGAAATTCTCAGCTATTTAAGTAATTATGATTTAAAGATTCTGATAAGTGTGTGTCAATTAACCATGGATTGTCAGGACATTGAGTCTAATGCTCATCTACCACTCGCAGCTGATGCAAGCCATACTGCTAAAAAAAAAAAAATTTAAACAGTTTCCTATTTAATAGGCAAAATTTAAAAAATAAATAAATAAACTCATTACTATTTTATTTTATTTTAATTTAATAAACTCAATTATCATAGAATAAGTTATACTTCGAATTTTATAGAAAACAAATGTTGATGATTTAAAAAAAAAAAGATTCAGTAGGAATGCTTATACTTAACTGTAGGTAAAATATTTAAAAAATTAACTCTTCAAGTAGCACAAATTATGAGTAAAAATATAATTAAAATCACTTTATCACCTTTTTGTCGTATTTTTATTAATGCGCGTATTGCAAAAGCCAGGAAGTGAAAAAAAATTTTAGATCTATTTTAATTTTAATTTTATTTTTATTTTTTTATTTTTATTAGTTCAATGAACCCTACAGCAAAGCCATTAATCGGGTTCCATATTACATAGAATTTAATACATTATGTTAATTTAAAAATTAATATTAATATTTATATAAGTCACTATAGAATTAACTAGCAAAAGTAAATATTATGCTCCAGTTTATACAATGTTTGACCTACAAATTTTTGTAAAACATTTAGAACTACTGATTTTATAAACATCCAAACTGTTATCTATCTTGTAAAAAGTATTGAAGGCACTTATTAATCGGTAAATGGGGGCAAATGTAGCAAAGTTGGTGCCAGTAATTTACTGAATATTTAATCCAAAATTTATTTCCTTTGCCCTGCTTGTATGTGATGAAATTATCAGACAAGAAGATCTAAAAGCATTGTGGATGGTCATCGTTGAGTTACATTTAGTTTTACAAGCTCCAGCTTTTGAATTTCATATGTCTGGTCACAAATTAAGTCAGAAAAGAAGTAAAAGCAGAAAATTAAAAAACAACAGTGGTTATTTACATTCTAAGTTCAAAGAATTTATATTTTTAAAATTAGATTTATTTAATTCATATGAATATTACTTACTTGATAATCAGTGATGGATTTACGCCTAGGCCTGCGAGGCCCGGGCCTAGGGCGGCATGATTTGAGGGGCGGCGAAATTTTTGAAATTCCAAAATTTCAGAGACGAAAAAAAATAAAGACAGTCTCCTTTGAAAATGAGTTCAGATTAATTTTTGTAAAAAATTTTCTCTGGAATATATTATAATTCAATTTTTTTGTTTACTTTTCAGTCTATGAATAAGATTTTAATTTTTTAAAAGATCAATTATAGTCTTTATCGAATGATGTTCTTTACTTTTTGTTTTATTACTGAAATTAATCATATGCTTACAAAGCTTTTGAAAATTACTAAATCTTAATAATTTCGCAATTTGTTTTTAACTTTAAATAAAAAGAAGATATGCACGTATTAAATATCATTGCGGTATTTATTTAAATGTCAGAAAATTTACTATTAACATAAATAATTTTTCATGAAAAGTCATTAAGTTTATTTATGTAAGTTGATATATATTAAACCAGTTTACATATATAGTTACATTTATGTGTTTATTATAAGTATAAATGAAAATTTAAAGAATTTTGTTTTATGAGTGTTTTTATTTATGTGATCGTAAACTCAAAACAAGAGCGCTACGCTTAACAGAGGTCTTGACTTGTTTGACTTTGTTTTGTTTAATCCAGAAAACAAAGCATCGCGCTGTAGAAAAAATACAGAAATCGTTCCAGTCTTACAAATGCTCTTCATGTCTACAAGTCTCGAATCATTTTATTCTGTTTCTTAATATTAAAAAAATAATTGATTGATAACTTTAAATGAGGTGTTAGTGGTGTTTTTTTATAATTCGGTCATAGTTCTGATTTTATTTTTTAATTGAATATGAGTGGCTACCGAAAAAAACTTAGTGGTGCAGAATATCGTAAAAGAAAAGCAGAAGAATCTACAAAAATAGACAGTTTACTAAAAAAAATTCCAAAAATATCTAATTTTATTACAAGCTCAACTAATTCTTCTAATAATGACCAACAACCGTCATGTTCATCTGTCGTAAGTATTTTGTTATAATTGTAAATAACTTTTTTTTCAATATAAAGTTTCAATTTCAGTAAAGAGTGAATAAATATCAAGTACCTAAAATTAATTTTTTTTCATAGTCGGAATTGGAAGAAACTTCAGCACAAGATAACGAAGAAGTACTGTCTAACACTTCTCCATCACAAGATACGAACAGGACGCCATCAAATTTCTCTTCATCACATACAGAAGAACTCCAGTCAACAACTGATATTTTACGATTTAATAGTGATCCCGTTTTATGGAATTTGAATGAAGAAACACGGGATTTTATAACTATGAACGGTATACTACGAAATGATAATACGGATTTTAAAAATTCTAAAAATGTATATAATGATAAAACAAGGTATTGTTTCAAAAGTTTATTTCCACGTACATTGAAAAATGGAGAGATTCAACGCCGTGAGTGGTTAATTTATTCAGAAACTAAGGATTCTGTATTTTGTGTTCCATGCTTATTATTTGGTAGAAGTGTTGAAATGAATGCTTTTACTGGTGAAGGATTTCGTGATTGGAAAAACTCAAAAGCACGCCTCGAAGGTCATGAAAATTCTGATTTTCACAAGACTAATGTTAGTTATTTCAAAGCTCGAGCAGTAATTCACGGGCGTGTTGATCAACGTCTAATAAAACAGCTGGATGAGGAAATTACATACTGGAAAAAAATCTTATACCGAGTCATTGCAATTATTAAATCACTAGCAATAAGAGGATTGCCATTTCGAGGAAATTCAGAACGAATCGGAGATCCCCATAATGGAAATTTTTTAGGAACAGTAGAGCTTCTTGCTGAATTTGATCCATTTTTGTCTGAACATCTAAAATTGTACGCGCACCCTGGTAGCGGAAATACATCGTACTTATCTAAAACAATCTATGAAGAGATCATATTATTGATGCAGAATAAAGTACTACAACAAATTTCTAGTGAGGTGCAATCTGCTAAGTATTTTGGTATAATTGTAGATTCTACGCCTGATATTGCACATGTCGATCAGCTTACTATAATTATTGGATATGTACGTGATAACGGTGAAATTGTTGAAAGGTTTCTAGAATTTATACCAAATATCGGCCATAAAGCTAAAGATATTGAGAATGCTTTGTTAAAATCTCTAGAAAATAATGGTTTGGATATAATGAACTGTCGTGGTCAATCTTATGATAATGCAAGCAATATGTCAGGTATTTATTCAGGCCTTCAGACACGAATCAAAGCAATTAATCCTCTAGCAGATTACGTTCCTTGTGCTGCTCATTCTTTAAATTTAGTAGGATCATGTGCGGTTGAATCCGTCACAGAAGCAGTCGATTTTTTTTCTACTTTGCAAGAATTATATAATTTTTTCACTATATCCACCCATCGTTGGGAAATCTTGGTGCAGCGTACAAATTTAAGAGTTAAGAGTCTTTCTCAAAATCGTTGGTCTGCTCGACATGATGCCTGCTACGCGTTAGAAAAAGAATGGTCTGCAATAATTGATGCACTGGAATTTATTGCTGAAAGCGAAGATGAGAAACCCACTACACGGTCTGAAGCTACGGGATTGCAGCGAAAGTTGCAGCATTTAGAAACAGCAATTCTAGTCAACGTTTGGAATGTAATTTTAGATCGATTTAATGCTGCTAGTAAGAAGCTTCAAGAATCTCAAGCTAATTTATCATCCGTTGTGCAGATCTATAGTTCTCTGGCTCTATTTCTTCAGGACATGAGAGACAGACAATTTTCTGAATATGAAGAAAAAGCCAAAACATTATCTGGCGTCCAAGATTATTATCGTTATGATACACGTCGCAAAAAAACTAGAAAAATTCAGTCAGATGAGTCACGGGTAAATGAGAGAATACCTTTTTCTGGACAAGAAAATTTTCGCACAAATGTTTATTACCTTATTTTAGATACTCTGAGTGTGCAATTGGCCGGACGTAAAAGTGCATATGAAAAGCTTTACGAAAAATTTAATTTCTTTGATAATTTATCTGAAATAGATACAACCGAATTAAAAAATCTTGCCAATAAATTAGTCGACAAGTATCCTGACGATTTAGAAGAGACATTAGGCAACGAATGTATTCATTTACATTACCAACTTAAAGATTCTTCAGCAAATACGGAAGATGTACGCTCTGCACAAAATATATGCAGTGTATTACACTCACGTAGTCTTCGAGATGTTTACCCAAATGTTGATATTGCTTTACGTATTTTTTTGAGTATTCCAGCTACAAATTGTTCAGGAGAAAGATCTTTTTCTACTTTAAAAAGAGTAAAAACCTATTTACGTGCCAGTATGGGTCAAGATAGACTTAATGCTCTTGCATTATTGTCTATTGAAGCTCAACTAGTTCAAGAAATTGAGTATGATGATATAATTGATATTTTTGCGCGTACCAAAGCCAGAAAAAAGAAATTTTAAAATTGATTAATATTAAAACAAAAAAAAAAAACATATTTATTTATTTGTCTAACGTTTATTACTTATATATCTGAAATATTTATTAGTTATAACTAAAAATTATATTCTAACGAAATAAAGTTATTTTAAATTTAGAATAAAAACATTGTATAAAAATTTATTGAATTTATTCTAACATTAAGGACGGCGCGATAAACAGGGCCTAGGGCGGCATCAAGCCTAAATCCGTCACTGTTGATAATAAAGTATGTTAACAATTTAAACAGCTGTTATTATTATGATAAAAATCAATACATAGATTTATTGACAATAAATTGTATTATTTTTAAACTATTTAACAATTTTTTGTAAGTGTTGAATTTAATAATTTTATTTACTTAATAAAGAAAAACGATGAAAATTTTTCCGCATTTTTAATAATCTTGATATTTTTTGAGTATAAGGATAATAAATTTTAAAACTTTATTTTGAAAAAGTATAGATATTTATAATTCCAAAAGATACACATTTAGTAAAATTTTAAAAATATTATCTGAAATGTGTGCTGAAGATAAATTTTGAAAAGTTTTTTTTTTCATAATAATAGTTTTATAGGTTTTATTACGTGTAATTAAAT